ATGCTCCCTGCCGATCACCCTCTTCTGCTCCACTACACTGCTATTACGATAGCATCCACGTCAGATACTGCGTAGCCAACTAGCTAGCGTTACAATATACTGATTTTGTTTACATTTAAACACCTGTTGTTTACATATAAACAACCTGTTGTTTACATGGTAACAACAACCTGTTGTTTACATATAAAACAAACTGTTGGTTACATGTAACATACCTGTAAATCATGTTGTTTACACTGTAAACCACCATGTTTGTTTACATGTAAACACCTGTTTTGTTATACATATAAACACCTGTTCCGTTTACATGTAAAATACCATGTAAACACATGTGTTTACATTTAAACCACCTGTTTACATGTAAACACCCGTTGTTTACATGTAAACACTGTTGTTACATGTAATAAACACCTGTGTTTACATTAAGTAAACACCGGTTTAACATGTAAACACCCGTTGTTTACATATAGAAAACAACCGGTTGTTTACATGTAAACACCTGTTGTTTACATGTAACACTGTTGTATTACCTTCACCAGGCCAAAGGGACATCTTTAACATGGAAACGTGTTTATCGTGCAAGTTTACAGTTACATCTGTGGGAATAACTTTTCAGATCTAGCTGCATCAACAACAATACTTTTTACACAGGATGAATTGGAATGACCCCATTTTATATTATTCTTCTTCTAATAAACAAGATGGCCGCCACAGTTCTCCATGCGCGTGAATCTTCATTATGAGAAAACAGTTACAAACCTTTAAAGCTGAGGCCACGTAACTTTCAAACCACTACAAAAAACAATATTGATTTCATTAGTTTGTTTACAGCTTCAATCAGCTCTCAGCCAATCAGCTCTCAGCCAATCAGCTCTCAGCCAAGGAGTCAAACAGTGCTCACAGGGATCTTTCCTAATGAGAACTATAAGACACGAAAACAAAGTTAGGGACCCCCAGCTTTACTTAACAGTTGGATAACAAAAGTTGAAATAACATAACCCTGGCGTCAATTATAGACTGATATCTGTCATTACATTTAAATAATTTCCTTCTACTTTTAGTTATAAACCACCAAAAAACACATGCAGGATGTTCCTCCTCATATACAGAATGCTTTTAATTTAGTCAAAGTGCCCAATTAAAAGATATAATTTCCAACGACTTTATTCTTGGGCATGACCAGCCAGGCACCTGAACTAATCACTGAAGGCCACACCCACAAATCACAGAATAGCAACACCCACAGTCCAGGCCTGTCGAAGGGGAGCTGGGCCGGGCCTTGCAATTTCTTTTTTTAATTATCTTTTTTCTAAATATAAATACACTAGTTCAAGGGTCCCCCAAAGGCGGACTGCGGTCCAGGTTCGGAACTCCGTGACTATTATCTGGACCTCCCTTGATTTTTTGTTCAAAAGTACATTCCATTCACAAGCTAAAGTCAAATCGTTCACCGAAAGCGATTTGTAAACAGGCAGGTCGAGGGCAGCTATTGTACGCAGCGGGGTCCTTCGGGGGAATAAACTTTAAGGAGCTGTTAGAGAACTTTAGCAGTGTCTGAGTGAGGCAACGAAGAAAGTAACGGGAAGGAGCCCAGTGAACGGAGAGGACGGATACTCGTGTCTTATGTAGGAGGGGAGGAGGAGAAGGTGTGTGAGCAGAGGAGGAGGAGCAGAGAGGAAGAGCAGAGGAGGAGGAGGAGGTGGTGTGTGAGCAGAGGAGGAGGCAGCGACGGACGAGAGGTGTGCGTATTGTGAGCAGAGGAGGAGAGGCGGAGGAGAGAGGTGTGTGAGCAGAGGAGGAGGAGGAGGAGGGAGGGGTGTGTGAGCAGAGGAGGGAGGAGGAAGAGAGGTGTGTGAGCAGCGAGTGGAGGAGGAGGAGGAGGAGGTGTGTAGCAGAGGAGGAGGTGGATCGGAGACAGGTGTGGAGCGAAGGAGGTGAGGAGGAGGGGAGACCAGGTGTGTGTGCAGAGGAGGAGGAGGAGGAGTGTGTGAGCAGAGGCGGAGGAGCAGGTGTCGTGAGCAGCAGGAGGGGAGTGAGGAGAGTGTGTGTGCAGAGGAGGAGGAAGGAGGAGACAGGGTGTGTGAGCAGAGGCAGGAGGAGGAGCGAGGAGGAGAGGTGTGTGCGCAGAGGAGGAGGACGGAGGAGACAGGTGTGGTGAGCAGAAGGAAGGAGGAGGAGGAGCAAGGTGTGTGAGCAGAGGCTGGAGGAGGGAGGAGGTGTGTGAGCAGAGGAGGAGGGAGACACGGTCTGTGTAGTGAGCAGCGTAAGAGGAGGAGGAGGACGGTGTGTGAGCTGAGGTGGAGGAGCTGAGGAGACAGGTGTTGTGAGCAGAGGAGGAGGGAGGAGGAGGTGTCGTGAGCGAGGAGGAGGAGCAGGTCGTGTGTGAGCAGCTGAGGAGTTGATGAGGATGGGAGACAGGTGTGTGCGAGCAGAGGAGGGCGGAGCCGAGGGAGGTGAGGAGGAGGAGACGAAAGTGTTGTGAAGTGAGTGAGGAGGAGGAGCAGCGGAGGACAGGGTGCGAGCAGAGGAAGGGAGGAGGAGAGGATTAGGAGGGAGGTCGGTGTCGTGAGACGAGGAGGAAGGAGGAGGAGGAGTGTGTGGTGAGCAGAGGAGGTGGAGGCGGAGGAGGACCGGTGTTGTGAGCAGAGGCGGAGGAGTGAGACCAAGTGTCGTGATCAGAGGAGGACGGAAGAGGAGGAGGAGGTGTTGTGAGCAGAGGAGGAGGTGGAGGAGGTGACAGGTGTCGTGAGCAGAGGAGGAGGAGGAGCGACGGAGGTGTGTGAGCAGGAGGAGGAGGAGGAGGGAGACAGGTGTAGAGAGCAGTGGAGGAGGCGGATTGTTGGAGCAGAGGAGGAGGAGGAGGACGACAGGTGTGTGGCAGAGGAGGAGGAGGGAGGAGGGACAGGTGTTTTGGCGTGGGTGAGATGTGTGTGTGATGTGTGAGAGTGTGTAGTGTGAGAGTGAGATGAGTGTGTGTGTGAGAGTAGAGAGTGTGGGTGTGTGTGTGAGTGTGTGTCTCGTGTGTGTGTTTGGGTGAGAGTGAGTGTGTGTGTGTGAGTGTGTGTGTGAGGTGTGTGTGGGGGTGTGTTGGTGAGAGTGTGAGTGTGTGTGTTGCTGCTGTCATAGAGTAGAGTGTGTGTGTGTTGCGTGTGAGAGTGTGTGATTGTGTGTGAGAGTGAGTGAGCGAGTTGTGCTAGTGCGTCGTGAGAGTGAGGTGTGTGTTGTGCGTGTGAGAGTGTGTGAGAGTGTGGGTTTGTGAAATGTGAGGAGTGTGTGTGTGTGAGAGTGTGAGTGTGTGTGTAGTGTGTGAGCGTGAGGTGTGTGTGTGTGTGTGGAGAGTGAGAGTGTTGTGTGCCTGTAGTGAGAGTGTGAGTGTGTGTGTGTGCGTCGTGAGTGAGTTCCGTGTGTGTGTCTGTGTGTGTGCGTAGTGAGTGAGTGTGTAGTGTGTGAGTGTCCTGTGTGTGAGAGTGAGAGTGTGTGTGTGTGTGTGTGTGAGAGTGTGAGTCTTGTGCTGTGTGTGTGTGTGCGGTGTGACGTTGTGTGTGTGCGAGTGTGTGTGTGTGTGTGTGTGTGAGAGTGTGTCGAGTGTGTGAGCCTGACGCTGCGTTGTAGTGAGGACACGCGGCCTGAAGTCATTTGTCAACGATTTTAACAGGGAAATGTTTCCTCAGATCATCGGGAAAAAAAAGTGTCAGGGCAGCGGCTCAGACACCCCAATCACAGGCCACACCCACCATCCCCCAAACACAGGCCACCCCCACTCCCTCCCAATCACAGGGCCACACCCACTCCCCCAATCACAGGCCACACCACCTCCCCCAATCACAGGCCACACCCACCTCCAATCACAGGCCACACCCACCTACCCCAATCACAGGCCACACCCACCTCCAATCACAGGCCACACCCACCCCCAATCACAGGCCACACCCACTCCAAATCACAGGCCACACCCACATCCCCCAATCACAGGCCTACACCCACTCCCCCAAATCACAGGCCACACCCACCTCCCCAATCACAGGCCACCCCCCACCTCCCCAATCACCTGGCCAAACCACCTCCCCCATCACAGGCCACACCCACCTTCCCCAATCACAGGCCACACCCACCCTCCCCAATCACAGGCCACACCCACCTCCCCCAATCACAGGCCACACCCACCTCCAATCACAGACCACACCCACCTCCCCCCATATCACAGGCCACACCCAACCACCCCCATCACAGACCACACCCACCTCCTCCAATCCACAGGCCCACACTCCACCCTCCCCAATCACAGGCCCACACCCACCTCCCCCAATCACAGGCCCACCCACCTCCCCAATCACAGGCCACCACCACCTCCCCCATATCACAAGGCCACACCCACCTCCGCAATAACAGGCCACACCCACCTCCCCCAATCACAGGCCCACCCACCTCCCACACATCACAGGCCACACCCACCTCCCCAATCACAGGCCCACACCACCTCCCCCAATCACAGACCACAAACTAGACTGGACCAGAAAACACTCAGCATTGTCATCTGTCTCTGGGGTCCTAGCTATGGAGGGTCCTCTGTCTCTGGGGTCTTGCTCTGGGGTCTGGGTCTGGCGTCTTGGGGTCCTGGTGTCTTGGGTCCTGGGTATTGGGTCCTCTGGGGGTCACCACCTTTCCTGGGATGGGGGGAACCCACACTCGTGACAATCCGACAAAAGGATGGTTTTGTGAGACGGACCCGATCACTCCCGAACGTGACGGGATCCTTTGTCTGAAGGCAACGAAAGTATCCTGCAACAGAGAGAGGCGTTCACCCTGACTGTACCAACGAGAGAGGCCCGTCACTCTGACCTGTACTGCTACCAACAGGAGAGGGCGTCACTCTGACTGTACCAACAGAAAGAGGCCGTTCACTCTGATGTTATACCAAACTAGAGAGAGGCGTCCACTCTGACTGTACCCAACAGAGAGAGGCGTGTTCACTCTGACTGTTACCAACTCGGTCGAGGCGCTCACTCTGGACTGTACAACAGAGTGTGGGCCGTCCACTCGGACTGTACCAACAGAGAGCTCCCCCCCCACCTGAAGAGAGGCGTCACTCTGTCATGGTACCTACAGTGAGTGGCGTCACTCTGTCTGTACCAAGCAGCAGAGAGGAACGTCACTCTGTCTGTACAAACAGAGAGAAGGCGATCACTCTGACTGTACCAAAGAGAGAGGCGTCACTCTGTCTGTACCAACAGAGAGAGGGTCACTCTGACGGTACAAACAGGAGAGGTGTCACTAGGGACCGGTACCACAAGAGAGAGGCGTCACTCTGACTGTACCAACAGAGAGAGGGTCACTTGACTGTACCAACAGAGAAGAGGCGTCAATCTGACGTGTACCAACAGGAGGGCGTCACTATGACTGTACCAACAGTGAGTGGCGTCACTCTGACTGTACCAAAAGAGAGAGGCGTCACTCTGACTGTACCTACAGAGAGAGGCGTCACTCTGACTGATACAACAGCAGAGAGGCGTCACTCTGACTGTACCAACAGAGAGCGGCGTTCACTCTGGACTGTACCAACAGAGAGACGGCGTCACTCTGTCTGTACCAACAGAGAGAGGCGTTCACTCTGACTGTACACAGAGAGCACGGCCGTCACTCTGTCTGTACCAACCAGAGAGAGGCGTCACTCTGACTGTTCCAACAGAGAGAGGCGTCACTCTGACTTAACAACAGAGCGAGCGCGGTCATCTGTCTGTACCAACAGAGAGAGGCGTCCTCTGTCAGTACCAACAGCAGAGAGGCGTTACTCTGACCTGCTCCAACAGAGAGAGGCGTCACTCTGACTGTACCAACAGAGGAGAGGCGTCACTCTGGGTCCCTTCTGGTCCCACCTTGTGCAGAAGGTAGGGTGTTGAACAGATGGGTGGGTCAGTTCTTCCGTCCTCGATGCGAGTCCACAAACTGACAGTGGTCCTCCGCCCTGTCCAGAGGTCCCCTCACCTGTTAGAAGGCGCTCTGCAGACATGGCACTCACATTATACCAGCTGCAATACAGGTGCAATACTGCCTCTGCCTCTGCCTCTGGTCTCTGCCTCTGCGTTGCATCTGTCTCTGCCTCTCTCTGTCGTCTCTGCCTCTGCCTCTGCCTCTGCCTACTGGTCTCTGCGGTACTGCCTCTGTCTCTGCCTCTATCTGTGTCTTGCCCTGACCTCTGCCTCATGCCTCTGCCCTCTGCCTTTCGTCTTGTCTCTGCCTCTGCCTCTGCCTCTGCCTCTGCGTCTGTTCTGCCTCTGTCTCTGCCTCTGCCTCCTGTATCTGTCTCTGCCTCTGCTCTGCCTCTGCCTCGGCCCTCTGCGTCTGCCTCTTGCCTCTGCCTTGCCCTCTGCCTCTGTCCTCTTGTCTCCTGTCTTCTGCCTATGCCTCTGCCTCTGTCTCTGTCTCTGCCTCTGTCTCTGCCTCTGTCTCTGTCTCTGCCTCTGCCTCTGTCTCTGTCTCTGCCTCTGCCTCGGCGTCTGTCTCTGCCTATGCCTATGCCTCTGTGTTGCCTCTGTGTCTGCCTCTGCGTCTGCCTCTGCCTCTGCGTCTGTCTCTGCCTCTGCCTCTGCCTCTGCTCCTGTGTTGCTCTGTGTCTGCCTCGCGTCTTGCCTATGCCTCTGCCTCTGCCTATGCTCTGTCTCTGCCTCTGCATCTGTCTCTGGCCTCTGGCCTCTGAGTCTGCCTCTGCCTCTGCCTCTGTGTCTGCCTCTGTGTCTGCCTCTGCGTCTGCCTCTGCTCTGCCTCTGCCTCTTGCCTCTGTTCTACTGCCTCTGCTATGCCTCTGAGTCTGCTCTGCCTCTGCCTCTGCCTAGTGTCTGCCTCTGTGATGCCTCTGCACGTCTGCCCTGCCTCTGACTCTGCCTCTCCTTGTCTATGCATCTGCCTTGCGTTGCCTCTGCCTCTGCCTCTGCTCTGCCTCTGCCTTCTGAGTCTGTCTCTGCCTCCTGTCCTCTGCGTCTGCCTCTGCCCTTCTGCGTCTGTCTTCTGCCCTGTCTCCTGCCTCTGACTCTGTCTCTGTCTCTGACTCTGCCTCAGTCTTGCCTTGCCCCCTTCCACACCCCGCGTCCTGCCTCTGTCTCTGCACTCTCTCTGTGTCTCTGCCTCTGCCTTGCCTCTGCCCTCTGCCCTCTGCGTCGGTTCTCTGCCTCTGTCCTCTGCAGTCTGACTCTGGCTCTCGACTCTCTCCTGGGTCTTGCTCTTCCTCTGCCTCTCGCCCTGCAGTCTGTTCTGCCTCTGTCTCTGCCTTGTCTCTGCCTCTTGCCTCAGTCTTGCCTCTGTCTCTGGTCCTGTCTCTGCCTCTGTCTCTGTCTATGCCTCTGCCTCTGCATATGTCTCTGCCTTCTGCCTCATGGCCTCTGTCTCTGTCTCTGCCTCTGCCTCTGCCTCTGTCTTTGCCTCTGTCTCTGCCTCTGCCTTGCCTCTGCCTCTGCCGTCTGCCTCTGCCTCTGCCTCTGCCTCTGTGTCTGCCTCTGTTCTGCTCTGTCTTGCCTCCTGCCTCTGCTCTGCCTCTGAGTCTGCCTCTGCCTCTGTCTCTGTTTCCTGCCTCTGCCTCTGCCTCTGCATCTGCCCTATCGTCTCTGCCTCTGTATCTGGCACCTTTGCCTCTGCCTCTGCCTTGCCATCTGGTCTGCATCTGCTCTGCTCCTGCCTCTGTGTCTGCCTCTGTCTCTGCCTCTGTCTCTGCCTCTGCCCTCGCTCTGCCTCTGCATCTGAGTCTGCCTCTGTCTCTGTCTCTGCCTTGCCCTCTGCTCTGTCTCTGCCTCTGTCTCTTGTCTCTGTCTTGTCTTCTGTCTCTGTCTCTGCCTCTGTCTCTGTCTCTGGACTCTGTCTCTGTCTCTGCCTCTGCTCTGTCTCTGCTCTGTCTCTGCCTCTGCCTCTACCTCTGTCTCTGTCTCTGCCTCCTGCCCTCTGCCTCTGCCTCTGTCATCTGCTCTGCCTCTTGCCTATGTCTCATGTCTCTGTCTCTGCCTATGTCTCTGTCTATGCCCCTCTGTTCTTATGTCCTCTGCCTCTCGTACTCTGTCTCTGTTCTCTGCCTACTGTCTCTGCCTCTGACTCTGCTCTGTCTCTGCCTCTGCCTTCATGTCTCTGCCTTGCTCTGCTGCTGCCTCTGCCTCTGCCTATGTGTACTCGCCTCTGTCGTGGCCTCTGCGTCTCGCCTCTGCCTCATGCCCTCTGCCTTGCATCTGTCTCTCGCCTCTGCCTATGCCTATGGTAGCGCCTCTGCCTATGCCTCTGTGTCTGCCTCTGTGTCTGCCTCTGCGTTGCTCTCTGCATCTGCCTCTGCCTCTGCCTCTGTCTCTGCTCTTGCCTCTGCGTCTGCCTCTGCCTCTGCCTCTGACTCTGCCTCTGCCTCTGAGTCTGTCTCTGCCTCTGTCTCTGCGTCTGCCTTGCCTATGCGTCTGTCTCTGCCTCAGTCTATGCCTACTGCCTCTGTCTTTCCTGTCTCTGCCTCTGCACTGTCTCTGCCCATCTGCCTCTGCGTCCTGCATTGTCTCTGCACCTCTCTCTGTGTCTCTGCTATGGCCTCTGCATATGCCTCCCTGCTCTGCGTCTGTCTTCTGCCTCTGTCTCCGGCGTCTGCCTATGTCTCTGCCTCTCTCTGTGTCTCTGCCTCTCGCTCTGCCTCTGCCTCTGCGTCTGTCTCTGCCTTGTCTCTGCTCTGTCTCTGCCTCTGCCTCAGTCTCTGCCTCTGTCTCTGCGTCTGTCTTCTGCCTCTGTCTCTGTCTCTGGCCTCTGCCTCTCGCCTCTGTCTATGCCTCTGCCTCTGCTCGGTATCTGTCTCTCGCCTCTGCCTCTGCCTCTTTCTATGCCTATGTCTCTGCCTCTGCCTCTGCCTCTGCCTCTGCCTCTGCGTCCTTGCATGTGCCTCTGCCTCTGCCTCTGATCCCTCTGCCTCTGTCATGCAATCTCGTCTCTGCCTCTGACTTGTCTCTGCCTCTGGTCTGCCTCTGCCTCCTGTCCTCCTGTCTCTGCCTCTGCCTACTGCCTCTGCCTCTGCCTCTGTCTACTGCCTCGGTCTCTGCCTTGCCTCTGCCTCTGACCATCGGCCTCTGCGTCTGCCTCTGCCTCTGCCTCTGTGTCTGCCTCTGTCTCTGCCTCTGTCTCTTGCCTTGCCTCTGCCTCTGCCCTCTGCCTCTGCGTATGCCCTCTGCCTATGTCTCTGTCTCTGCCTCTGCCTCTGCCTCTGTCTCTGCCTCTGGCTCTGTCTCTGTCTCTGTCTCACGCCTCTGCCCTCTGCCTCTGTCTCTGTCTATGCCCTATGCCACTGCTCTCTGCCTCTGTCTTCTGCATCCTGCCTCTGCCTCTGTCTCTGTCTATGCCTCTGCTCTGCATCTGTCTTGCCTTCTGCCTCTCGCCTCTGTCTTCTGTTCTCTGTCTCTGCCTCTGTCTCTGGTCTCTGCCTCTGTCTCTGTCTCTGTCTCTGTCTCTGTCTCTGTCTCTGCCTCTGCCTCTGCTCTGCCTCTGCGTCTTGGGGCCACGCTGCTCACCTTATCAAATTTTTATTTTTTTTTCCCCCCCCCCCCCCCCCAATCTTTTTTCCTTTTTTTTTCCCCCTTTCAGGCCACTCTTCCAATGGCGGTTTACATCTCCTGCAACACACAACAGTCATTATGACTGCTCCATATGGGCTCTCCTCCTGCAACACACAACAGTCATTATGACTGCTCCATATGGGCTCTCCTCCTGCAACACACAACAGTCATTATGACTGCTCCATATGGGCTCTCCTCCTGCAACACACAACAGTCATTATGACTGCTCCATATGGGCTCTCCTGCAACACACAACAGTCATTATGACTGCTCCATAATGGGCTCTCCTGCAACACACAACAGTCATTATGACTGCTCCATATGGGCTCTCCTCCTGCAACACACAACAGTCATTATGACTGCTCCATATGGGCTCTCCTCCTGCAACACACAACAGTCATTATGACTGCTCCATATGGGCTCTCCTGCAACACACAACAGTCATTATGACTGCTCCATATGGGCTCTCCTGCAACACACAACAGTCATTATGACTGCTCCATATGGGCTCTCCTCCTGCAACACACAACAATCATTATGACTGCTCCATATGGGCTCTCCTCCTGCAACACACAACAGTCATTATGACTGCTCCCACTAAGTTGGTCAGAGTTACTTAGACTTAGTCAGAGTTATTTAGAGTTATTTAGAGTTATTTAGAGTTATTTAGGGTTAGTTGGGGTTAGTTGGGACTCACCAGGAGGACGTTCGATCAGAAAAGGGTCGTCTGAAAACAAAAGAGAAACACTGATTTGAAAGACTTTATAAACTACACTAACAGGTCTGCTCAGAGGTCACCATGTCTGCTCAGAGGTCGCCAGGTCTGCTCAGAGGTCGCCAGGTCTGCTCAGAGGTCGCCAGGTCTGCTCAGAGGTCGCCATGTCTGCTCAGAGGTCGCCAGGTCTGCTCAGAGGTCGCCAGGTCTGCTCAGAGGTCGCCAGGTCTGCTCAGAGGTTGCCATGTCTGCTCAGAGGTCGCCAGGTCTGGTCAGAGGTCGCCAGGTCTGCTCAGAGGTCGCCATGTCTGCTCAGAGGTCGCCAGGTCTGCTCAGAGGTTGCCAGGTCTGCTCAGAGGTCGCCATGTCTGCTCAGAGGTTGCCTGGTCTGCTCAGAGGTCGAGTCGCCAGGTCTGCTCAGAGGTCGCCAGGTCTGGTCAGAGGTTGCTCAGAGGTCGCCAGGTCTGCTCAGAGGTCGAGTCGCCAGGTCTGCTCAGAGGTCGCCAGGTCTGGTCAGAGGTTGCTCAGAGGTCGCCAGGTCTGCTCAGAAGTCGCCATGTCTGCTCAGAGGTTGCCAGGTCTGCTCAGAGGTCGCCAGGTCTGCTCAGAGGTCGCCAGGTCTGCTCAGAGGTCGCCAGGTCTGCTCAGAGGTCGCCATGTCTGCTCAGAGGTTGCCATGTCTGCTCAGAGGTCGCCATGTCTGCTCAGAGGTCGCCATGTCTGCTCAGAGGTCGCCAGGTCTGGTCAGAGGTTGCCAGGTCTGCTCAGAGGTTGCCAGGTCTGCTCAGAGGTCGCCAGGTCTGCTCAGAGGTCGCCATGTCTGTTCAGAGGTCGCCAGGTCTGCTCAGAGGTCGCCATGTCTGCTCAGAGGTCGCCAGGTCTGCTCAGAGGTCGCCAGGTCTGCTCAGAGGTCGCCAGGTCTGCTCAGAGGTCGCCAGGTCTGCTCAGAGGTCGCCAGGTCTGCTCAGAGGTCGCCAGGTCTGCTCAGAGGTCGCCAGGTCTGCTCAGAGGTCACCAGGTCTGCTCAGAGGTCGCCTGGTCTGCTCAGAGGTTGCCAGGTCTGCTCAGAGGTCGCCAGGTCTGGTCAGAGGTTGCTCAGAGGTCGCCAGGTCTGCTCAGAGGTCGCCATGTCTGCTCAGAGGTCGCCATGTCTGCTCAGAGGTCGCCAGGTCTGGTCAGAGGTCGCCAGGTCTGCTCAGAGGTCGCCATGTCTGCTCAGAGGTCGCCATGTCTGCTCAGAGGTCGCCAGGTCTGGTCAGAGGTCACCATGTCTGCTCAGAGGTCGCCAGGTTTGCTCAGAGGTCGCCAGGTCTGCTCAGAGGTCGCCAGGTCTGCTCAGAGGTCGCCAGGTCTGCTCAGAGGTCGCCAGGTCTGGTCAGAGATTGCCAGGTCTGCTCAGAGGTCGCCAGGTCTGCTCAGAGGTCGCCATGTCTGCTCAGAGGTCGCCAAGTCTGCTCAGAGGTCGCCATGTCTGCTCAGAGGTTGCCAGGTCTGGTCAGAGGTCGCCAGGTCTGCTCAGAGGTCGCCAGGTCTGCTCAGAGGTTGCCATGTCTGCTCAGAGGTTGCCAGGTCTGGTCAGAGGTCACCATGTCTGGTCAGAGGTCACCAGGTCTGGTCAGAGGTCACCATGTCTGCTCAGAGGTTGCCAGGTCTGCTCAGAGGTCGCCAGGTCTGCTCAGAGGTCGCCAGGTCTGCTCAGAGGTCGCCAGGTCTGGTCAGAGGTTGCTCAGAGGTTGCCAGGTCTGCTCAGAGGTCGCCATGTCTGCTCAGAGGTCGCCATGTCTGCTCAGAGGTCGCCATGTCTGCTCAGAGGTCGCCATGTCTGCTCAGAGGTCGCCATGTCTGCTCAGAGGTCGCCATGTCTGCTCAGAGGTCGCCAGGTCTGCTCAGAGGTCGCCATGTCTGCTCAGAGGTTGCCAGGTCTGCTCAGAGGTCGCCAGGTCTGCTCAAAGGTCGCCATGTCTGCTCAGAGGTCGCCATGTCTTCTCAGAGGTCGCCAGGTCTGGTCAGAGGTCGCCAGGTCTGCTCAGAGGTCGCCAGGTCAGCCTCTGGGTGTCATGGTTTAAGTTTATTTCCTGTTTTATTTTGAAATGTGTTATCCCTGTGTCTTCTTTGGTTGTACTTCCTGTTGTCTGATGCCCCGCCCTCATCTGTCTCACCTGTGTCTCGTTAGTCTGATGCCCCGCCCTCATCTGTCTCACCTGTGTCTCGTTAGTCTGATGCCCCGCCCTCATCTGTCTCACCTGTGTCTCGTTAGTCTGATGCCCCGCCCTCATCTGTCTCACCTGTGTCTCGTTAGTCTGATGCCCCGCCCTCATGTGTCTCACCTGTGTCTCGTTAGTCTGATGCCCCGCCCTCATCTGTCTCACCTGTGTCTCGTTAGTCTGATGCCCCGCCCTCATCTGTCTCACCTGTGTCTCGTTAGTCTGATGCCCCGCCCTCATCTGTCTCACCTGTGTCTCGTTAGTCTGATGCCCCGCCCTCATCTGTCTCACCTGTGTCTCGTTAGTCTGATGCCCCGCCCTCATGTGTCTCACCTGTGTCTCGTTAGTCTGATGCCCCGCCCTCATCTGTCTCACCTGTGTCTCGTTAGTCTGATGCCCCGCCCTCATCTGTCTCACCTGTGTCTCCCGTTAGTCTGATGCCCCGCCCTCATCTGTCTCACCTGTGTCTCGTTAGTCTGATGCCCCGCCCTCATGTGTCTCACCTGTGTCTCGTTAGTCTGATGCCCCGCCCTCATCTGTCTCACCTGTGTCTCGTTAGTCTGATGCCCCGCCCTCATGTGTCTCACCTGTGTCTCGTTAGTCTGATGCCCCGCCCTCCTGTGTCTCACCTGTGTCTCGTTAGTCTGATGCCCCGCCCTCATCTGTCTCACCTGTGTCTCGTTAGTCTGATGCCCCGCCCTCATGTGTCTCACCTGTGTCTCGTTAGTCTGATGCCCCGCCCTCATGTGTCTCACCTGTGTCTCGTTAGTCTGATGCCCCGCCCTCCTGTGTCTCACCTGTGTCTCGTTAGTCTGATGCCCCGCCCTCATGTGTCTCACCTGTGTCTCTCGTTAGTCTGATGCCCCGCCCTCATGTGTCTCACCTGTGTCTCGTTAGTCTGATGCCCCGCCCTCCTGTGTCTCACCTGTGTCTCGTTAGTCTGATGCCCCGCCCTCCTGTGTCTCACCTGTGTCTCGTTAGTCTGATGCCCCGCCCTCATCTGTCTCACCTGTGTCTCGTTAGTCTGATGCCCCGCCCTCATGTGTCTCACCTGTGTCTCGTTAGTCTGATGCCCCGCCCTCATGTGTCTCACCTGTGTCTCGTTAGTCTGATGCCCCGCCCTCCTGTGTCTCACCTGTGTCTCGTTAGTCTGATGCCCCGCCCTCATGTGTCTCACCTGTGTCTCGTTAGTCTGATGCCCCGCCCTCATGTGTCTCACCTGTGTCTCGTTAGTCTGATGCCCCGCCCTCATGTGTCTCACCTGTGTCTCGTTAGTCTGATGCCCCGCCCTCATGTGTATCACCTGTGTCTCGTTAGTCTGATGCCCCGCCCTCATGTGTCTCACCTGTGTCTCGTTAGTCTGATGCCCCGCCCTCATGTGTCTCACCTGTGTCTCGTTAGTCTGATGCCCCGCCCTCATGTGTATCACCTGTGTCTCGTTAGTCTTGTATTTAGCCCTGTGTGTTCCTTCACTCCCTGTTCCGTCATTATCATCCCTCGTCTGTTTTAGTTCTGTCCTCGTTCCCTGTGTTTTGGATTTGTTTTATCTTTTTATTAAATCCATTGTTTTTTGCAGTTTTGCATTTTGGGCCTCATTTGTTTTTCACCCACGTGACACTGGGCCTGAACTCACCAGACTCAGTCACGTAGGTCAGAGTGTCGCTGAACGGCCCCAGCCCCAGAACGTTCTTGGCCTGGACTTTGAAGTAGTACCTGGCAACAGAGAGAGCTATCAGACTGAGGAGAGCTACAGAGAGTTATCAGACTGAGGAGAGCTACAGAGAGTTATCAGACTGAGGAGAGCTACAGAGAGCTCACAGACTGAGGAGAGCTACAGAGAGCGCTACCAGACTGAGGAGAGCTACAGAGAGCGCTATAAGACTGAGGAGAGCTACAGAGAGCGCTATCAGACTGAGGAGAGCTACAGAGAGCTCACAGACTGAGGAGAGCTACAGAGAGCGCTATCAGACTGAGGAGAGCTACAGAGAGCTCACAGACTGAGGAGAGCTACAGAGAGCGCTACCAGACTGAGGAGAGCTACAGAGAGCGCTATAAGACTGAGACTGAGGAGAGCTACAGAGAGCGCTATCAGACTGAGGAGAGCTACAGAGAGCTATCAGACAGAGAGCTACAGAGAGCTATGAGAGAGGAGAGCTACAGAGAGCTATCAGACTGAGGAGAGCTACAGAGCTATCAGAGAGCGCTATGAGACTGAGGAGAGCACAGAGAGAGCTGAGAGAGAGCTACAGAGAGCTATCAGACTGAGCTACAGAGCTATCAGACTGAGGAGAGCTACAGAGAGCTATGAGACTGAGGAGAGCTATGAGACTGAGAGCTAGTCCAATAAACTGATGAACACCAAAGACTGTAAGTACCTTCTACAGACCCCTCCCCCCTGCCCGTCGGGGTCCGCTGCCCGTCGGGGTCCGCTGCCCGTCGGGGTCCGCTGCCCGTCGGGGTCCGCTTCGCCCTGAAGGTACTTATTTTCCGATAATGACCTGCGTAATATACGTTATCCCGCTTATTATACAGCTTTATACCAACAGAACACACAACATAAACCTCAGTCACTTTTAGGAATGCCCAAAGGTTTATTTAAAATAAGAAAGAAAATAAATAGTTCCCAAAGGCTTTCCCGTGGCTATGCTAGCACCATTAGGCTAACAACTTCCAAACTAGAACTCTCTGGAACTGCATGAAAACTGAACACAGAATCCTGAACATCAGCGGTGAGTGACCCAAACATAAACTTAACCTAAATCCATAATTCCATCCTCTGCAAATGTTCCTAAAATGTGCCGTATCTACTTCCGGGTTTTTCGGGATCGCCTTTTCTCTCATTACATCAGTGTTTTTGTCATGAAAACGTAAACGGAAAATTCTGAAAACTTCTGTGCACTTGTGTTAAGACTGGATATGTATAAATTACTCTCCCATTAACATTTCATTGCGTTGATTGATTGGCAGTAACTACTTCTGGGTTTTTCACGATCGCTTTTTGACGCAGAGAAATAGTATTTTTGTCATGAAGACAAGACCAGAAAATTCTGAAATCCTCCGTGCACGTGTGTGAAGAATGTATATGTATAAGTATTCTCCGATTAACATGTGTTAAGTGTGTTGATTGAGCGTGGCTAGCTCCGGAGTGGCCGGAACTACTTGCAGAGTTATCCACGCATCTGAAAGACAAGCAGAGAGTGCGTTGCCAAAGGGCAGCGGTCATTATTGTTTTGAGAGGTCCGTTATAGAAAATAATGACCGTAGAACGTTTTGAAATTATTGAAATACATTTAAATCAATGGTTCTGCTGCTGCTGTGAGGAGCGTGTGATAAACATTATTATCGTATGATTTGATGTGTTATTGTCATGAACCCTAACCCATAATGTCTTATACAGGGTCTTATACAGGGTCTTATACAGGGCCTTATACAGGGCCTTATACAGGGTCTTATACAGGGCCTTATACAGGGCCTTATACAGGGTCTTATACAGGGCCTTATACAGGGTCTTATACAGGGTCTTATACAGGGTCTTATACAGGGCCTTATACAGGGTCTTATACAGGGCCTTATACAGGGTCTTATACAGGGCCTTATACAGGGTCTTATACAGGGTCTTATACAGGGCCTTATACAGGGCCTTATACAGGGTCTTATACAGGGCCTTATACAGGGTCTTATACAGGGTCTTATACAGGGTCTTATACAGGGCCTTATACAGGGTCTTATACAGGGCCTTATACAGGGCCTTATACAGGGTCTTATACAGGGCCTTATACAGGGTCTTATACAGGGCCTTATACAGGGTCTTATACAGGGCCTTATACAGGGCCTTATACAGGGTCTTATACAGGGTCTTATACAGGGACTTATACAGGGCCTTATACAGGGCCTTATACAGGGTCTTATACAGGGTCTTATACAGGGTCTTATACAGGGCCTTATACAGGGTCTTATACAGGGCCTTATACAGGGTCTTATACAGGGCCTTATACAGGGCCTTATACAGGGTCTTATACAGGGTCTTATACAGGGCCTTATACAGGGTCTTATACAGGGCCTTATACAGGGTCTTATACAGGGTCTTATACAGGGTCTTATACAGGGCCTTATACAGGGTCTTATACAGGGCCTTATACAGGGCCTTTATACAGGGTCTTATACAGGGCCTTATACAGGGCCTTATACAGGGTCTTATACAGGGCCTTATACAGGGCTTATACAGGGCCTTATACAGGGTCTTATACAGGGTCTTATACAGGGTCTTATACAGGGCCTTATACAGGGCCTTATACAGGGCCTTATACAGGGCCTTATACAGGGCTTATACAGGGCCTTATACAGGGTCTTATACAGGGCCTTATACAGGGTCTTATACAGGGCCTTATACAGGGCCTTATACAGGGTCTTATACAGGGTCTTATACAGGGTCTTATACAGGGCCTTATACAGGGCCTTATACAGGGTCTTATACAGGGTCTTATACAGGGTCTTATACAGGGCCTTATACAGGGTCTTATACAGGGCCTTATACAGGGCCTTATACAGGGTCTTATACAGGGTCTTATACAGGGTCTTATACAGGGTCTTATACAGGGTCTTCCCCATCACGTATATTTTCTTGTTCTATTATGTAATACAAAATAATTTTAATATGTGCGAATAAAACAAATCAAACCGCTCCTCATTTGTCTTGCACTTGTGTTGTCTCTCTCTCTCTCCTCTCCCCCCCTCTCTATCTCTCCTCTATCTCTCCTCTCTCTCCCCTCTACTGTATCTCCTCTCTCTCCCTCCTCTCTCTCCCCTCTCTCCCTCCTCTCTCTCCCCTCTCTATCTCCTCTCTCTCCCCTCTCTCCCTCCTCTCTCTCCCCTCTCTATCTCCTCTCTCTCTCCCTCCTCTCTCTCCCCTCTCTATCTCCTCTCTCTCTCCCTCCTCTCTCTCCCCTCTCTATCTCCTCTCTCTCTCCCCCTCTCTCTCCCCTCTCTCCCTCCTCTCTCTCCCCTCTCTATCTCCTCTCTCTCTCCCCCTCTCTCTCCCCTCTATCTCTCTCCCCCCCTCTCCCCCAGTGGTTCCAGTAACACAGTTTAAACATATTTCATTTCCTCTGTGACTCTCAGTCCCTATCACACACACACACACACACACACACACACACACACACACACACACACACACACACACACACACACACACACACACACACACACACACACACACACACACACACACACACACACACACACACACACACACACACACACACACACACACACGGACACAAACACACGGACGCACACACACACACATAGACACAGACACACACACACATTCAATCTGGATATGATCAGCCACGGGAACTTCAGGACTGCATACAAGAGATGGAGAGAGGGGGGAGAGAGGGAGAGGAGAGAGGGGAGAGAGAGGGGATAGAGGGAGAGGGGAGAGAGAGGGGATAGAGGGAGAGGGGAGAGAGAGAGAGAGAGGGAGAGGAGAGAGGGGAGAGAGGAGAGAGGAGAGAGGGGAGAGAGAGAGAGGGGAGAGAGAGGGGATAGAGGGAGAGGGGAGAGAGAGGGGAGAGAGGGAGAGGAGAGAGAGAGGGGATAGAGGGAGAGGGGAGAGAGAGGGGAGAGAGGGAGAGAGGGAGAGAGGGGAGAGAGGAGAGAGGAGAGAGGGGAGAGAGAGGGGATAGAGGGAGAGGGGAGAGAGAGGGGATAGAGGGAGAGGGGAGAGAGAGGGGAGAGAGGGAGAGGAGAGAGGGGAGAGAGGAGAGAGGAGAGAGGGGAGAGAGAGGGGAGAGAGAGGGGAGAGAGGGAGAAGAGAGAGGGAGAGAGGGAGAGGAGAGAGGAGAGAGGGGAGAGAGGAGAGAGGGAGGGAGAGAGGGAGAGGAGAGAGGGGAGAGGGGAGAGAGGAGAGAGAGGAGAGAGGGGAGAGAGGGGAGAGAGGGAGAGGGAGAGAGGGGAGAGAGAGGGGAGAGAGGGAGAGGAGAGAGGGGAGAGAGGGAGAGGAGAGAGGGGAGAGAGAGGGGAGAGAGGGAGAGGAGAGAGGGGAGAGAGGGGAGAGAGGAGAGGAGAGAGGGGAGAGAGAGGGGAGAGAGGGAGAGGAGAGAGGGGAGAGAGGGAGAGGAGAGGAGAGGGAGAGAGAGGGGAGAGAGAGGGGGAGAGAGAGGGGAGAGAGGGAGAGGAGGGAGAGGGAGAGAGGGGAGAGAGGAGAGAGGGAGAGGAGAGAGGAGAGAGAGAGGGGAGAGAGGGAGAGGGGAAAGAGGAGAGAGAGGGGAGAGAGGGAGAGGAGAGAGGGAGAGGAGAGAGGGGAGAGAGAGGGGAGAGAGGGAGAGGAGAGAGGGGAGAGAGGGGAGAGAGGAGAGAGGGGAGAGAGGGAGAGGAGAGAGGGGAGAGAGAGGGGAGAGAGGGGAGAGAGGAGAGAGGAGAGAGGGAGAGGAGAGAGGGGAGAGAGAGGGGAGAGAGGGAGAGGAGAGAGGGGAGAGAGGGGGAGAGAGGAGAGAGGGGAGAGAGGGAGAGGAGAGAGGGGAGAGAGAGGGGAGAGAGGGAGAGGAGAGAGGGGAGAGAGGGGAGAGAGAGGGGGAGAGAGGGGTGAGGAGAGAGGGGAGAGAGGGGAGGAGAGAGGGGAGAGAGGGGAGAGAGGAGAGAGGGGAGAGAGGGAGAGGAGAGAGGGAGAGGAGAGAGGGGAGAGAGGGGAGAGGGAGAGGAGAGAGGAGAGAGGGGAGAGAGAGGGGAGAGGGAGGGGAGAGAGGGAGAGGAGAGAGGGGAGAGAGGGGAGAGAGAGGAGAGAGGAGAGAGGAGGAGAGAGAGGAGAGAGAGGGAGAGGAGAGAGAGGGGAGGGGGGAGAGAGAGAGAGAGAGGGGAGAGAGGAGAGAGGGGAGAGAGGGAGAGGAGAGAGGGGAGAGAGGGGAGAGAGGGGAGAGAGGAGAGAGGGAGAGGAGAGAGGGAGAGGAGAGAGGGGAGAGAGAGGGGAGAGAGGGAGAGGAGAGAGGGGAGAGAGGGGGAGAGAGGAGAGAGGGGAGAGAGGGGAGAGGAGAGAGGGGAGGGAGAGAGGGAGAGGAGAGAGGGGAGAGAGGGGGAGAGAGGGGAGAGAGGAGAGAGGGTGAGGAGAGAGGGAGAGAGGGAGAGGAGGAGAGGGGAGAGAGGGGGAGAGAGGAGAGAGGGGAGAGAGGGAGAGGAGAGAGAGGGAGAGAGAGGGGGGAGAGAGGGAGAGGAGAGAGGGGAGAGAGGGGAGAGGGAGAGGAGAGAGGAGAGAGAGGGGAGAGAGAGGGGAGAGAGAGGGGAGAGAGGGAGAGGAGAGAGGGGAGAGAGGGGAGAGAGAGGAGAGAGGAGAGAGGAGGAGAGAGAGGAGAGAGAGGGAGAGGAGAGAGAGGGGGGGGGGGAGAGAGAGAGAGAGGGGGAGAGAGAGAGAGAGGGGGGAGAGAGAGAGAGAGGGGGAGAGAGAGAGAGAGGGGGAGAGAGAAGGGGGGAGCTGCAGGAAAGAGTGTGTCATGTTGAAAGCAGTGAAGATGAGGTCATCGTCTGCAGTTGAAACTCAGACTGTGTTTGTGGAAATTTAAGTTTCCTTTATTTCACCAGAAACATATGAGCTCGGAGTAGAGCCCCTGCTCCTCCACATGCAGAGGTGCAGTGGTTTAAGGCCACCAACTATGAACCTCACCATGAACCTCACCATGAACCTCACCGTGGACCTCACGTGGACCTCACAGAGGACCTCACCATGAACTTCACCATGAACTTCACAGTGGACCTCACGTGGACCTCACAGAGGACCTCACCTTGGACCTCACCATGAACCTCACCGTGAACCTCACCATGAACCTCACCATGAACCTCACCATGAACCTCACCGTGAACCTCACCATGAACCTCACCATGAACCTCACCGTGAACCTCACCATGAACCTCACCATGAACCTCACCATGAACCTCACCATGAACCTCACCGTGAACCTCACCGTGAACCTCACCATGAACCTCACCGTGAACCTCACCATGAACCTCACCATGAACCTCACCGTGAACCTCACCATGAACCTCACCATGAACCTCACCATGAACCTCACCATGAACCTCACCGTGAACCTCACCGTGAACCTCACCGTGAACCTCACCATGAACCTCACCATGAACCTCACCATGAACCTCACCGTGGACCTCACCGTGGACCTCACGTGGACCTCACAGAGGACCTCACCTTGGACCTCACCCTGAACCTCACCGTGGACCTCACCTTGGACCTCACCATGAACCTCACCGTGAACCTCACCATGAACCTCACCATGAACCTCACCGTGAACCTCACCATGAACCTCACCGTGAACCTCACCGTGAACCTCACCATGAACCTCACCATGAACCTCACCGTGAACCTCACCATGAACCTCACCGTGAACCTCACCGTGAACCTCACCGTGAACCTCACCATGAACCTCACCATGAACCTCACCATGAACCTCACCGTGGACCTCACCGTGGACCTCACGTGGACCTCACAGAGGACCTCACCTTGGACCTCACCCTGAACCTCACCGTGGACCTCACCTTGGATCTCACCCTGAACCTCACCGTGGACCTCACCGTGGACCTCACCATGAACATCCCCGTGAACCTCACCACGAACCTCACCACGAACCTCACCATGAACCTCACCATGAACCTCACCGTGGACCTCACCATGGACCTCACCGTGGACCTCACAGAGGACCTCACCTTGGACCTCACCCTGAACCTCACCGTGGACCTCACCTTGGACCTCACCCTGAACCTCACCGTGGACCTCACCATGAACCTCACCATGAACCTCACCATGGACCTCACCGTGAACCTCAACGTGAACCTCACCGTGAACCTCACCAGGAACCTCACCATGAACCTCACCATGAACCTCACCGTGAACCTCACCTCACCATGAACCTCACCGTGAACCTCACCGTGGACCTCACCGTGAACCTCACCATGAACTTCACCTCACCATGAACCTCACCGTAAACCTCACCATGAACCTCACCGTGAACCTCACCTCACCGTGAACCTCACCTCACCGTGAACCTCACCTCACCGTGAACCTCACCGTGAACCTCACCGTGAACCTCACCATGAACCTCACCATGAACCTCACCATGAACCTCACCGTGGACCTCACGTGGACCTCACCTTGGACCTCACCATGAACCTCACCGTGAACCTCACCATGAACCTCACCATGAACCTCACCATGAACCTCACCGTGAACCTCACCATGAACCTCACCATGAACCTCACCATGAACCTCACCGTGGACCTCACCATGGACCTCACGTGGACCTCACAGAGGACCTCACCTTGGACCTCACCCTGAACCTCACCGTGGACCTCACCTTGGATCTCACCCTGAACCTCACCGTGGACCTCACCGTGGACCTCACCATGAACCTCACCACGAACCTCACCATGAACCTCACCATGAACCTCACCGTGGACCTCACCATGGACCTCACCGTGGACCTCACAGAGGACCTCACCTTGGACCTCACCCTGAACCTCACCGTGGACCTCACCTTGGACCTCACCCTGAACCTCACCGTGGACCTCACCATGAACCTCACCATGAACCTCACCATGGACCTCACCGTGGACCTCACCGTGAACCTCACCGTGAACCTCAACGTGAACCTCACCGTGAACCTCACCAGGAACCTCACCATGAACCTCACCATGAACCTCACCGTGAACCTCACCTCACCATGAACCTCACCGTGAACCTCACCGTGGACCTCACCGTGAACCTCACCATGAACTTCACCTCACCATGAACCTCACCGTAAACCTCACCATGAACCTCACCGTGAACCTCACCTCACCGTGAACCTCACCTCACCGTGAACCTCACCGTGAACCTCACCATGAACCTCACCATGAACCTCACCATGAACCTCACCATGAACCTCACCGTGGACCTCACGTGGACCTCACCTTGGACCTCACCATGAACCTCACCGTGAACCTCACCATGAACCTCACCATGAACCTCACCATGAACCTCACCGTGAACCTCACCATGAACCTCACCATGAACCTCACCATGAACCTCACCGTGGACCTCACCATGGACCTCACGTGGACCTCACAGAGGACCTCACCTTGGACCTCACCCTGAACCTCACCGTGGACCTCACCTTGGATCTCACCCTGAACCTCACCGTGGACCTCACCGTGGACCTCACCATGAACATCCCCGTGAACCTCACCACGAACCTCACCACGAACCTCACCATGAACCTCACCGTGGACCTCACCATGGACCTCACCGTGGACCTCACAGAGGACCTCACCTTGGACCTCACCCTGAACCTCACCGTGGACCTCACCTTGGACCTCACCCTGAACCTAACCGTGGACCTCACCGTGGACCTCACCATGAACCTCACCGTAAACCTCACCATGAACCTCACCATGGACCTCACCGTGAACCTCAACGTGAACCTCACCGTGAACCTCACCAGGAACCTCACCATGAACCTCACCATGAACCTCACCGTGAACCTCACCTCACCATGAACCTCACCGTGAACCTCACCGTGGACCTCACCGTGAACCTCACCATGAACTTCACCTCACCATGAACCTCACCGTAAACCTCACCATGAACCTCACCGTGAACCTCACCTCACCGTGAACCTCACCGTGAACCTCACCTCACCATGAACCTCACCGTGAACCTCACCGTGAACCTCACCTCACCATGAACCTCACCGTGAACCTCACCATGAACCTCACCGTGAACCTCACCATGAACCTTACCATGAACCTCACCATGAACCTCACCATGAACCTTACCATGAACCTCACCATGAACCTCACCATGAACCTCACCATGAACCTCACCATGGACCTCACCATGAACCTCACCATGAACCTCACCTCACCATGACCCTCACCGTGAACCTCACCATGGACCTCACCATGAACCTCACCATGAACCTCACCTCACCATGACCCTCACCGTGAACCTCACCATGGACCTCACCATGAACCTCACCGTGGACCTCACCGTAAACTTCACCATGGACCTCACCATGAACCTCACCGTGGACCTCACCGTGGACCTCACCGTGGACCTCACCGTGGACTTCACAGAGGACCTCACAATGAACCTCACCGTGGACCTCACAGAGGACCTCACCGTGAACCTCACAAAGGACCTCACAGAGGACCTCACCGTGAACCTCGAAAGAATCCATTTTTGTAAAGAAACAGACCTTCCCCAAATGGAGGAGGCAGGTTGCGGTTTGTTTATCCTCGTTTCTATGACGACGGCCTGAAAACGGTGCTATCCCTAGCTCCTGCGTCATCCATGTGGGAATGTGAAGGTTGTAACCTTCACATTCCCACATGGACTTTAATGAAGTCTATCATTAAACACAGCAGAAAATGTATGTGTGTTTTTGTATAGTGTGGGTAGAGTGTGTGTGTGTTTTTGTATAGTGTGTGTGTAGAGCGTGTGTGTTTTTGTATAGTGTGTGTGTGTAGAGTGTGTGTGTTTTTGTATAGTGTGTGTGTGTAGAGTGTGTGTGTGTGTTTTTGTATAGTGTATGTGTGTAGAGTGTGTGCGTTTTTGTATAGTGTGTGTGTTTTTGTATAGTGTGTGTAGAGTGTGTGTGTTTTTGTATAGTGTGTGTGTAGAGCGTGTGTGTTTTTGTATAGTGTGTGTGTGTAGAGTGTGTGTGTTTTTGTATAGTGTGTGTGTGTAGAGTGTGTGTGTGTGTTTTTGTATAGTGTATGTGTGTAGAGTGTGTGTGTTTTTGTATAGTGTGTGAGTGTAGAGTGTGTGTGTTTTTGTATAGTGTGTGTAGAGTGTGTGTGTTTTTGTATAGTGTGTGTAGAGTGTGTGTGTTTTTGTATAGTGTGTGTGTAGAGCAGGTGTGTTTTTGTATAGTGTGTGTGTGTAGAGCCTGTGTGTTTTTGTATAGAGTGTGTGTGTTTTTGTATAGTGTGTGTGTGTAGAGCCTGTGTGTTTTTGTATAGTGTGTGAGTGTAGAGTGTGTGTGTTTTTGTATAGTGTGTGTGTGTAGAGCCTGTGTGTTTTTGTATAGTGTTTGAGTGTAGAGTGTGTGTGTTTTTGTATAGTGTGTGTGTGTAGAGCCTGTGTGTTTTTGTATAGTGTGAATCTGAAACAGCGCCCTAACAATAGATAAGGTAAATGACATGCTAATGAGTTAGGATCGTCTCAGCGGACAGTTGCTCAGTAACATGCTACTGAGCTTGGATCGTTAGACCCACACTGCACACGAGCTCTCAGCGGAAAGTTGCTCAGTAACATGCTACTGAGCTACAATCGTTAGACCCACACTGCACACGAGCTAGGATCGTTAGACCTGTACTACACCGAGCTCCCAGCAGACAGTAGTCCAGTGACATGCTACTGAGTTGGGATCGTTAGACCCCCACTACACACAAGCTCTCAGGATACAGTAGGTCAATCACATGCTACTGAGTTGGGATCGTTAGACCCCCACTACACACAAGCTCTCAGCAGATAGTAGGTCAGTTACATGCTAATGAGTTAGGATCATTAAACCCACACTACACACGAGCTCTCAGCAGACAGTAGGTCAGTGACATGCTAATGACATGTAAAGGTGCACTTTGTTAATCCCCGTAGGGTTATTCATCCTCTGCATTTGACCCTGATGCCGCGAAGGCTTACGTCAGGAGCAGTGGTCGCCGTAGTAACAACGCCCGGAACCATCTCCAGATGTTGATGCTCGGCGTGGTCAGGACAAGAGCTGGAGGATTTAACCTAGTGAGCATGTTTTTAGTGGTAGGGGAAACCGGAGTACCCGGAGGAAACCTACAACATACAAACTCCCCTCAGAAAGACCTTGTTCCGACAGGGATTCGAACCCAGGATCTTCTTGCTGAGAGGCGAGAGTGCTATCCACTCAGCCACGGTGGCTGCATGGATAGAACCATGTGTCAATCTAAAGATGTGATCGTTAGACCTACACTACACACAAGCTCTCAGCAGACAGTAGGTCAGTGGATCGTTAGACCTACACTACACACAAGCTCTCAGCAGACAGTAGGTCAGTGGATCGTTAGACCTACACTACACACAAGCTCTCAGCAGACAGTAGGTCAGTGGATCGTTAGACCTACACTACACACAAGCTCTCAGCAGACAGTAGGTCAGTGGATCGTTAGACCTACACTACACACAAGCTCTCAGCAGACAGTAGGTCAGTAGATCATTAGACCTACACTACACACAAGCTCTCAGCAGACAGTAGGTCAGTGGATCGTTAGACCTACACTACACACAAGCTCTCAGCAGACAGTAGGTCAGTGGATCGTTAGACCTACACTACACACAAGCTCTCAGCAGACAGTAGGTCAGTGGATCGTTAGACCTCAGCTCCACTCGAGTTCTCCACAGAAAATAGGTCAGTGACATGCTAATGAGGCAGGATCATTAGCGCTAGCTGGATTGTTAGCGCTAGCTGGATTGTTAGCCCTAGCTGGATTGTTAGCGCTAGCTGGATTGTTAGCCCTAGCTGGATTGTTAGCCCTAGCTGGATTGTTAGCCCTAGCTGGATTGTTAGCCCTAGCTGGATTGTTAGCCCTAGCTGGATTGTTAGCCCTAGCTGGATTGTTAGCCCTAGCTGGATTGTTAGACCTGCTCCCTACCGCTTTGTAGCAGACCTTAGATGTGGTAACGACACACAGCTTGTAAATCTCCAACTCGCGGCTGAGCTTTCAATTTCTTGAAAAAGTTATTTGGATTAAGAACGAAACATCGGGAAAACCTGCTGACTGAAGTACAGATGTTGCTAACTGAAGTACAGATGTTGCTAACTGAAGTACAGATGTTGCTAACTGAAGTACAGATGTTGCTAACTGAAGTACAGATGTTGCTAACTGAAGTACAGATGTTGCTAACTGAAGTACAGATGTTGCTAACTGAAGCACAGATGATGCTAACTGAAGTACAGATGTTGCTAACTGAAGCACAGATGATGCTAACTGAAGTACAGGTGATGCTAACTGAAGTACAGATGATGCTAACTGAAGTACAGATGTTGCTAACTGAAGTACAGATGTTGCTAACTGAAGTACAGGTGATGCTAACTGAAGTACAGGTGATGCTAACTGAAGTACAGATGATGCTAACTGAAGTACAGATGATGCTAACTGAAGTACAGGTGATGCTAACTGAAGTACAGGTGATGCTAACTGAAGTACAGATGATGCTAACTGAAGTACAGGTGAAAAAAATAGTGGATATCAAAATTGCATGACAATGTCAATTTGAAAGAGATTCCGGCAAAAAAAAAATCCTATATTTTATAAAAAGAAGGTGTTTTTCATGAATTGAAGTTGTCTATGCTCTAACCTGTGTGTGACGTCACAGCGGGTAACGCCCATGCATTGAAAACCATGGATCTATGCCACAGGACTGCCTTTTCTCTCTTCTCTCCACTGATGCCCAACACAATACTGCCCTCTACAGGTGACAATTGCTCACTACACATAAATTGCCGTTTGAGAGTGAAAAAGTGTCCGAGGTGGGATTTGAACCTGAGTATCTGGATTGACAGTCCATCGACACAACCACTGGACTATCTCAGTGACAGCGAAGAGTTATAATCTAGTATTTATCTCACACTCGCTGTACACGGCCTTGTCATCTTGAATATCCGCGAAAAAAGAACAAATACCAAATTGTAAACAAATTACAGCGTTGAAACGTACCCACTCTGACGTCACCAAGGGCTGTGAAGTTTTTTCGTTTCTAAGGGCGTTGCTATGGGGTTATTTCGATTTGGGGGGATCAGACAAAAAAAACAACAACTGATTTTGAAACCTTTAGTAGTTCTCTTCTGATATAAAATGGTATTAAAACTGTATTTCTAAATAAATCAAACCCGGCATAAGGTCTTTAAACGCTTGGAAGGATTGTTGAAGGACTTGGGCCTCACGGTGGAACCTCGTACTGACGTGGTCAACTCCGGATAACGGTGAACGGAGGGTCCAGTTCCAGTATAATTTGGACATATTGGCTTTAGTTTACACTGCCTTTCATTGATCAGCTAAAGTGTTTATACACATTTCCCACAAGGGCATGTGTTGTTTTGTCTCCAATGTTTGCACCTGCGCTATCTTTGTCCTTCACATTCCACCAGCACTGCTACCGGCTACTCAAGGCTACTCAAGGCTACTCAAGGCTACTCAAGGCTACTCAAGGCTACTCAAGGCTACTCAAGGCTACTCAAGGCTACTCAAGGCTACTCAAGGCTACTCAAGGCTACTCAAGGCTACTCAAGGCTACTCAAGGCTACTCAAGGCTACTCAAGGCTACTCAAGGCTACTCAAGGCCGACACTGGACTCTTTAACTCAGACTCATAACCAGAACACCAGTCACAGTCCCCCCCTTCTACATGTCTGCCTCCCTCTCTTCAGTCTATGGTGGTCTTCCTCCACCTCCCCCACCCACACCCACCCTCCACCTCCCCCTCCCACACCCCCCCCCTCCCACACCCCCCTCCACCCACACCCACCCCCACCCACACCCACCCTCCACCTCCCCACACCCCACCCTCCACCCACACCCACCTCCACCCACACCCACCCTCCACCTCCCCACCCACACCCACCCTCCACCCACACCCACCCTCCACCTCCCCCACCCACCCTCCACCTCCCCCACCCACAGGGTCAGTTAGCAGATGATGCTAACTGAAGCACAGATGATGCTAACTGAAGTACAGATGATGCTAACTGAAGTTAGCAGATGATGCTAACTGAAGTACAGATGATGCTAACTGAAGTTAGCAGATGATGCTAACTGAAGTACAGATGATGCTAACTGAAGTACAGATGATGCTAACTGAAGTACAGATGATGCTAACTGAAGTTAGCAGATGATGCTAACTGAAGTACAGATGATGCTAACTGAAGTTAGCAGATGATGCTAACTGAAGTACAGATGATGCTAACTGAAGTACAGATGATGCTAACTGAAGTTAGCAGATGATGCTAACTGAAGTTAGCAGATGATGCTAACTGAAGTACAGATGATGCTAACTGAAGTTAGCAGATGATGCTAACTGAAGTACAGATGATGCTAACTGAAGTACAGATGATGCTAACTGAAGTACAGATGATGCTAACTGAAGTTAGCAGATGATGCTAACTGAAGTTAGCAGGTGATGCTAACTGAAGTACAGATGATGCTAACTGAAGTTAGCAGATGATGCTAACTGAAGTACAGATGATGCTAACTGAAGTACAGATGATGCTAACTGAAGTACAGATGATGCTAACTGAAGTTAGCAGATGATGCTAACTGAAGTACAGATGATGCTAACTGAAGTTAGCAGATGATGCTAACTGAAGCACAGATGATGCTAACTGAAGTTAGCAGATGATGCTAACTAAAGCACAGGTGATGCTAACTGAAGTTAGCAGATGATGCTAACTAAAGCACAGGTGATGCTAACTGAAGCACAGATGATGCTAACTGAAGCACAGATGATGCTAACTGAAGCACAGATGATGCTAACTGAAGTACAGATGATGCTAACTGAAGTACAGGTGATGCTAACTGAAGTACAGATGATGCTAACTGAAGTACAGGTGATGCTAACTGAAGTACAGATGATGCTAACTGAAGTACAGGTGATGCTAACTGAAGTACAGATGATGCTAACTGAAGTTAGCAGGTGATGCTAACTAAAGCACAGTACCTGGAGTTGGGTTTGAGGTTCTCCAGGACCAGGTGAGTTCCACTCGAGGAGAGCGTGGACCATCTGTTGTTCAACACGTCATCGTAGGAGGCAGAGTGCACCAAGAACCCTGCAGAGGAACCATGTGTCAGTCATACACCATGAACCCTGCAGAGGAACCATGTGTCAGTCATACACCATGAACCCTGCAGAGGAACCATATGTCAGTCATACACCAAGAACCCTGTAGAGGAACCATGTGTCAGTCATATACCAAGAACCCCGCAGAGGAACCATGTGTCAGTCATACACCATGAACCCTGCAGAGGAACCATGTGTCAGTCATACACCATGAACCCTGCAGAGGAACCATGTGTCAGTCATACACCATGAACCCTGCAGAGGAACCATATGTCAGTCATACACCAAGAACCCTGTAGAGGAACCATGTGTCAGTCATATACCAAGAACCCCGCAGAGGAACCATGTGTCAGTCATATACCAAGAACCCCGCAGAGGAACCATGTGTCAGTCATATACCAAGAACCCCGCAGAGGAACCATGTGTCAGTCATATACCAAGAACCCTGCAGAGGAACCATGTGTCAGTCATACACCAAGAACCCTGCAGAGGAACCATGTGTCAGTCATACACCATGAACCCTGCAGAGGAACCATGTGTCAGTCATACACCATGAACCCTGCAGAGGAACCATATGTCAGTCATACACCAAGAACCCTGTAGAGGAACCATGTGTCAGTCATATACCAAGAACCCCGCAGAGGAACCATGTGTCAGTCATATACCAAGAACCCCGCAGAGGAACCATGTGTCAGTCATATACCAAGAACCCCGCAGAGGAACCATGTGTCAGTCATATACCAAGAACCCTGCAGAGGAACCATGTGTCAGTCATACACCAAGAACCCTGCAGAGGAACCATGTGTCAGTCATACACCATGAACCCTGCAGAGGAACCATGTGTCAGTCATACACCATGAACCCTGCAGAGGAACCATATGTCAGTCATACACCAAGAACCCTGTAGAGGAACCATGTGTCAGTTCATATACCAAGAACCCCGCAGAGGAACCATGTGTCAGTCATATACCAAGAACCCCGCAGAGGAACCATGTGTCAGTCATATACCAAGAACCCCGCAGAGGAACCATGTGTCAGTCATATACCAAGAACCCTGCAGAGGAACCATGTGTCAGTCATACACCATGAACCCTGCAGAGGAACCATGTGTCAGTCATACACCATGAACCCCGCAGAGGAACCATGTGTCAGTCATACACCAAGAACCCTGCAGAGGAACCATGTGTCAGTCATACACCAAGAACCCTGCAGAGGAACCATGTGTCAGTCATACACCATGAACCCTGCAGAGGAACCATGTGTCAGTCATACACCATGAACCCTGCAGAGGAACCATGTGTCAGTCATACACCAAGAACCCTGCAGAGGAACCATGTGTCAGTCATATACCATGAACCCCGCAGAGGAACCATGTGTCAGTCATATACCAAGAACCCCGCAGAGGAACCATGTGTCAGTCATATACCAAGAACCCTGCAGAGGAACCATGTGTCAGTCATACACCAAGAACCCTGCAGAGGAACCATGTGTCAGTCATACACCATGAACCCCGCAGAGGAACCATGTGTCAGTCATACACCATGAACCCCGCAGAGGAACCATGTGACAGTCATACACCAAGAACCCTGTAGAGGAACCATGTGTCAGTCATACACCAAGAACCCTGTAGAGGAACCATGTGTCAGTCATACACCAAGAACCCTGCAGAGGAACCATGTGTCAGTCATACACCATGAACCCCGCAGAGGAACCATGTGACAGTCATACACCATGAACCCCACAGAGGAACCATGTGTCAGTCATACACCAAGAACCCTGTAGAGGAACCATGTGTCAGTCATACTCTCTAGCTGAGACCATGTGGTCCTTGTCCCTGTGCTCTGTAGCTGAGACCATGTGGTCCCTGTCCCTGTGCTCTGTAGCTGAGACCATGTGGTCCTGTCCCTGTGCTCTGTAGCTGAGACCATGTGGTCCTTGTCCCTGTGCTCTGTAGCTGAGACCATGTGGTCCCTGTCCCTGTGCTCTGTAGCTGAGACCATGTGGTCCTTGTCCCTGTGCTCTGTAGCTGAGACCATGTGGTCCTTGTCCCTGTGCTCTGTAGCTGAGACCATGTGGTCCTTGTCCCTGTGCTCTGTAGCTGAGACCATGTGGTCCTTGTCCCTGTGCTCTGTAGCTGAGACCATGTGGTCCTTGTCCCTGTGCTCTGTAGCTGAGACCATGTGGTCCTTGTCCCTGTGCTCTGTAGCTGAGACCATGTGGTCCCTGTGCTCTGTAGCTGAGACCATGTGGTCCTTGTCCCTGTGCTCTGTAGCTGAGACCATGTGGTCCCTGTGCTCTGTAGCTGAGACCATGTGGTCCTTGTCCCTGTGCTCTGTAGCTGAGACCATGTGGTCCTGTGCTCTGTAGCTGAGACCATGTGGTCCTCTGTGCTCTGTAGCTGAGACCATGTGGTCCCTGTCCCTGTGCCTCTGTAGCTGAGACCATGTGGTCCTTGTCCCTGCTGCTCTGTGCTGAGCCATGTGGTCCTTGTCCCTGTGCTCTGTAGCTGAGACCATGTGGTCCTTGTCCCTGTGCTCTGTAGCTGAGACCATGTGGTCCTTGTCCCTGTGCTCTGTAGCTGAGACAGTGCTGTCCGTGCTCTGTAGCTGAGACCATGTGGTCCTTGTCCCTGTGCTCTGTAGCTGAGACCATGTGGTCCTTGTCCCTGTGCTCTGTAGCTGAGACCATGTGGTCCTTGTCCCTGTGCTCTGTAGCTGAGACCATGTGGTCCTTGTGCTCTGTAGCTGGACCATGTGCTCCCTGTAGTAGCTGAGACCATGTGGTCCTTGTCCCTGTGCTCTGTAGCTGAGACCATGTGGTCCTTGTCCCTGTGCTCTGTAGCTGAGACCATGTGGTCCTTGTCCCTGTGCTCTGTAGCTGTAGACCATGTGGTCCTTGTCCTGTGCTCTGTAGCTGAGACCATGTGGTCCTTGTCCCTGTGCTCTGTAGCTGAGACCATGTGGTCCTTGTCCTGTGCTCTGTAGCTGAGACCATGTGGTCCTTGTCCCTGTGCTCTGTAGCTGAGACCATGTGGTCCTTGTCCCTGTGCTCTGTAGCTGAGACCATGTGGTCCTTGTCCTGTGCTCTGTAGCTGAGACATGTGGTCCTCTGTGCTCTGTAGCTGAGACCATGTGGTCCTTGTCCCTGTGCTCTGTAGCTGAGACCATGTGGTCCTGTGCTCTGTAGCTGAGACCATGTGGTCCCTGTGCTCTGTAGCTGAGACCATGTGGTCCTTGTCCTGTGCCTGTGTGAGCTGAGACCATGTGGTCCTTGTCCCTGTGCTCTGTAGCTGAGACCATGTGGTCCTTGTCCCTGTGCTCTGTAGCTGAGACCATGTGGTCCTTGTCCCTGTGCTCTGTAGCTGAGACCATGTGGTCCTTGTCCCTGTGCTCTGTAGCTGAGACCATGTGGTCCTTGTCCCTGTGCTCTGTATTCAGATTCTGTTTTTACACAAAGCACAAACAAAGTGATACTTTAAATGTGAAAACAAACCAGATTTATTTTTCTCAAGTTCAATTGTTAATAATGGACAGAAACTGTCTGTCTGTGTCTGTGTGTCTGTGTGTGTGTCTGTGTGTGTCTGTGTGTGTCTGTGTGTGTGTGTCTGTGTGTCTGTCTGTGTCTGTGTGTGTGTGTGTGTGTGTGTGTGTCTGTGTGTGTGTGTCTGTGTGTCTGTCTGTGTCTGTGTGTGTGTGTGTGTGTGTGTGTGTGTGTGTGTGTGTGTGTGTGTGTGTCTGTGTGTGTCTGTGTGTGTGTGTGTGTGTGTCTGTCTGTGTCTGTGTGTGTGTGTGTGTGTGTGTGTGTGTGTCTGTGTGTGTGTGTGTGTGTGTGTGTGTGTGTGTCTGTGTGTGTGTGTGTGTGTGTGTGTGTGTGTGTGTGTGTGTGTGTGTGTGTGTGTGTGTGTGTGTGTGTGTGTGTGTGTGTGTGTGTGTGTGTGTGTGTGTGTGTGTGTGTGTGTGTGTGTGTGTGTCTGTGTGTGTGTCTGTGTGCGTGTGTCTGTGTGTGTGTGTGTGTGTGTGTGTGTGTGTGTGTGTGTGTGTGTGTGTGTGTGTGTGTGTGTGTGTGTGTGTGTGTGTGTGTGTGTGTGTGTGTGTGTGTGTGTGTGTGTGTGTGTGTGTGTGTGTGTGTGTCTGTGTGTGTGCTGTGTGTGTGTGTGTGTCTGTGTCTGTGTGTGTGTGTGTGTGTCTGTGTGTGTGTGTGTGTGTGTGTGTGTGTGTGTGTGTGTGTGTGTGTGTGTTGTGTGTGTGTGTGTGTGTGTGTGTGTGTGTGTGTGTGTGTGTGTGTGTGTGTGTGTGTCTGTGTGTGTGTGTCTGTGTGTGTGTGTCTGTGTCTGTGTGTGTGTGTGTGTCTGTGTGTGTGTGTCTGTGTCTGTGTGTGTGTGTGTCTGTGTGTGTGTGTCTGTGTGTGTGTGTGTGTGTGTGTGTGTGTGTGTGTGTGTGTGTGTGTGTGTGTGTGTGTGTGTGTGTGTGTGTGTGTGTGTCTGTGTGTGTGTGTCTGTGTGTGTGTGTGTGTGTCTGTGTGTGTGTGTGTGTGTGTGTGTGTGTGTGTCTGTGTGTGTGTGTGTGTGTGTGTGTGTGTGTGTGTGTGTGTGTGTGTGTGTGTGTGTGTGTGTGTGTGTGTGTGTGTCTGTGTGTGTGTGTGTGTGTGTCTATGAGAGAGAGAGCATGAGGACTAGCAAGATGACAGCGTTTTGGACGGTGTTGGATTGGTCGGATACGCGGAAGTAGAAGGAGCGTTTCATGCTAACAACAACAAGCCGTGTTTTTCTTTTTTTCGTCTCGTGAGTTGTTTGAAAACAAAACCCAAAAACACAGTTGTGTGTGGGAAAACCACTATTAATCTCCAAGGAGATTGTGCATGATCACAATATGGCAGGGTCGGGAGGACCACTGCTGGAGTTTAGTGAGGATAGCATGGAAGAGGGTGAAATGTGTGGAAACAGAAAGAGAGGACATGAGTGAGCGAGTGGTGAAGCGGAAAGTGGACCAGGAAGGATTTAAAGTGTTAAGTTTAAGGAGGGTCATGATATTAAAACGGTAGGTCCTGTCGCTCTTAGCAGATATTTGCGTGAGAAAATAGGTGAAATTGCTAGAGCTAGAGTGCATTCGGATGGTGACTTAATGATAGTGTGTAAAGATGAGAGCCAGCAGTTGAAGGCTTTGAAGATAAAAAGTGTCTGTAAGAAAGAAGTCTTGGAGAGTAAGAAAAGAGTGGCAGCGGGAGAGACCTGTAGGGGTGTGATCTATGGTATCCCTGTAAACGAGGACTTGGGGAAACTAAAGGATAACATTCAGGGAGGACGCGTACTGAGTTTAAAGAGACTTAATGCATGGAGATCCGGAGAAAAGGTAGAGAGTCTGTCTGTAATGGTGGAGTTTCAAGGAGAAGTATTGCCCAAATATGTTACTATAGGATATTTAAATTTCAGTGTAAGGCTGTATGTGCCGCCGCCATTGCGGTGTTACAAGTGCCAGAAATATGGACATATAGCTGCTTACTGTAAAGGCACACAGACATGTGACGGTGTGCAGGAGGGCATGACTATGGAGCATGTGGAACTGGGGTTCCAGAAAAATGTACAAATTGTGGGGGTGCGCACAGTGTTGGGAACCGAGAGTGTGTCGCCAGGAAGAGGGCAATTGAAATCCAGCATATTAGGACTGCAGGGAAGATGTCCTATGCTGAGGCAGCCAGAAGAGTTCCGACTGGGCCAAATACAGCCAGAAAGTGCTGCGAAATATTTGGGTATTAAAGGTGTCAAGTGGGAGAATATTCATGAGCAACTTAAGAATCAAGATGAATCTGGGAAGCCAGTAGCTGGGTCACAGTCTTCACGGCAGCTCACGCCTGCGTCACAAGGGAAAAATTTAAAAAAAAAATAAAAAAAAAAATTAAACATTTATTTTTTACAGTGGAATGCTAGAAGCTTGATAGCAAATGGACAGGAGTTCAAGAGATTTATCTCTGAATTAGAGGTCAAGCCAGTGGTTATTTTCATTGTTGAAACGTGGCTGAAACCTCATTTGAGCTTTGTCTTAAATGGGTGTGTGCGTGAGCGTAGTGATAGAAATGATAGTAGTGGGATGTGCGACTTTTATCAAGAAAGGGGTTCCCTATAGAGTTTTAGGTAAGGGTGAACAACTAGAATATCTAACTGTTGAGATTTGGTGGGAAAAGGGTTGTCTAACGGTAGTACATTTTTATAACCCTTGTAAAAGACTTGAGATGGATGCGTTAGAGTCGATTGACTGTCAAGGAGGAAGGAATGTAATATGGCTTGGAGATTTTAATGCACATAGTGTCCTTTAGGGAGGGGAAAAAACGGACCACAATGGGTTGGTAATAGAAGAGCTCATGGATAGGAAAGAATTGGTGTGTGTGAATGATGGGTCACCTACTCGAATTGGGTTCAATGTGCAATCGGTATTGGATCTAACTTTAGTACCTCAGTCTCTTGCGGACCAAATAGTCTGGGAAGTATATGATGAATCAACAATGGGAAGTGACCACTATCCAATAATGAGTAGAATGGGCAGCATGAATGGCACGGTTAGAAAACTTTCCTTTGAGAGGTGGAATTTTAGTAAGGCGAATTGGGCAATGTTCACAGTTATAAGTGATAGGAACATGGGTCCAGCTGAGGTAATGGATGATGTGGATAAGTTCAATAAGAATGTGACAAAAGCTATAATAGACGCCGCAAAGGAATCAATTGGGTTGACAAAGGTAGGAAATGGGAAACGGAAAGCAGTTCCTTGGTGGACAGATGAGTGTACACAAGCAATTAACAGAAGAAATAAAGTATTTAAAGATTTTGTGAAGAGCTTAAGCTCCCAGATGTATATGGAGTATAAAAGGGAGCAGGCCAAGGTCAGGAAAATAATCAGGAGGACTAAAAAAGAGTACTGGAGAAAGTATTGTAATACAATTGGGAGGCAAACCTCTGTAAATGACGTCTGGAGGGTTGTTAAAAAAATGAGTGGAGTACGGCAATCTTGGAGCTATCCAGTCCTTAAGTGCAATGATACTGTGGCTGTGAAAGATGAAGAGAAGGCAGCACTAATGGTAGAAACTATAGCCAAGATTCATAGTGGGTTTAATTTGACTGAAGCGGAAAGGAATCGAAGAAAGGAAACAAAGCAACAACACCAGTGTTTGTTAGAGTGCGTAGAGGATGGTGATGACTGCTTGAATGCTAGCTTTTCAATAAACAAACTCAAAAAAGCTATAAATAAGGCTAAGGTCACAGCTACAGGGAAAGATCAGGTAAGCTATGCAATGTTAAAACATCTTGGTAAGAATGGTATGAATGTGATGCTTGAGCTGTTTAGCAAGGTGTGGGAACAAGGGGAAAGTCCAAAAGACTGGAAGATGGCTGTAATTATTCCTGTCAGAAAGCCAGGGAAAGATCCAACTATGGCCTCAAACTATAGACCAATTGCTTTGTCATCCCACCTGGGCAAGGTAATGGAGAGGATGATTGTGGAACGGCTTACTTTTTATGTTGAATCACGAAATTTGATGTCACCATTTCAAAGTGGATTCAGGAAGGGAAGGTCGACTATGGACCCTGTTATTAAGTTGGAAAGTGATATTCGGAAGGCTCAGGCGTGTAAAGAAATAGTTGCAGCTGTATTTTTTGATGTTGAAAAGGCATATGATATGCTTTGGAAAGATGGAGTTCTAATCAAAATAAGGAAAATGGGAATAAAAGGGAGAGTATATAACTGGATCAAAGACTTTTTGAATAATAGGCAAATTCAGGTTAGAATAAATAATTGCTACTCTGAGTGTGTCATGGTTGATAATGGTGTGCCCCAAGGAAGTGTTATTTCACCAATTTTATTTTCTATTATGATAAATGATATATATCAAACAATTGACAGGAGTATAGGGAAATCAATATTTGCAGATGATGGTGCTCTCTGGAAGAGGGGAAAAAACATTGGGTTCACTGTTAAGAGTCTTCAAAAAGCAATTGATGCAGTTGAAGAATGGGCAGGGAAATGGGGATTCCGGTTCTCTGGTGAGAAAACAAAAGTGGTGTTTTTCTCCGCTAAGAAGATCGATGAGAAATTCAAATTTTACATGTTTGGTAGAGATCTGGAAAGAGTTAGTTGTATGAGGTTTTTAGGGTTACATTTTGATGCTAAACTCACTTGGCGTAACCATATTGAAAAGGTAATAGGCAAGTGTAAGAAAGTTATCAATGTAATTAGATGTTTGTGCTGTAAGGAATGGGGAGCAGATTTAGTTTCAATGAAGAGATTATTTGTTGGTTTAATTAGATCTATTGTTGATTATGGATGTCTGGCTTATGGATCAGCTGCTAAAACTGAACTGAAGAAGATTGACGTTGTCCAGGGGACAGCCCTAAGACTCTGCTCAGGGGCCATGAGAACCTCCCCGATGCCAGCGCTTCAGGTTGAAGTCGGTGAGATGCCATTTGAACTGAGACGTTTACAATTATCACTGTCATATTATATTCACTTAAAGACACATATGGAAGATCATCCAACCAAAAGTGTCCTCGTCCAAACGTGGGAGCAAGCAAAATGTAAAAGAGAGTCGTTCAGTACAAGTATACACAAAAAGGCAAAGCAAGCTGCAATAGACAACCTGGAACTAAGCTCATCAGTGATTTATCCACCGCATCACCCATGGGTGCTGCCAGTTCCATATGCAGACACGTCCTTGCACGACAAGTTGAGAAGCTTCCAGGGAGATAGTGGACAGTTGGCTATGATGTATGTGGATAGCCACTATGGATATGTGCATGTTACTGATGGATCAAAACAACCAGATACAGGGAGAGTAGCAATAGCATATGTGGTTCCAGAGTTTGACATAAAGTTTTCTGCAAGAGCTTCAGATCAATATCAGTCTATACAGCAGAGTTGATCGCTATTGTTATGGCACTACAATGGGTAGAACAAATTAGACCGCTAAGAGTTGTAATATGCTCTGATTCATTGTCAGCATTAGAGAATTTTAAATCTGGTAATGTAAGTGAAAGATATGACATAGTGTGTGAGATATTAACTTTGCTGCATAATATTGAGACTGGGGGAACACATGTTACATTTGTTTGGGTTCCAGCTCATGTAGGTCTGATGGGAAATGAGCTGGCAGACAAATGTGCTAAACAAGCCTTGAAAGCAACAGCTGTATCTGTAAAGTGTGGCATGTCGAAATCAGAGGCAAAGTCAATCATAGTAAAGCATGTCAAAGGATTGTGGCAAGAGAAATGGGAGAGAGAAAACAGAGGTAGGGGTCTTTATAAGACAACTCCTATGGTTGGTCAGGGCCGTCGGGTCATGAGATGTAGAAGGGAAGAAACAATTTTAACGAGAATGAGAATAGGGCACACTGGTCTTAATACCACATTGCATCTAATAGGGAAGCATCCGTCAGGAAACTGCGATGACTGTAAGTGTCAGAGACAGTGGAACATATTTTAATCAAATGCAGAAAGTTTAAAAGAGACAGGATTTTACTTAAAAGGAAAATAGAGGATTGTGGGGAAAAGTTTACCCTAAAAGACATATTATCTAAAGAATCAGACCATAGAGTGATAACATATTTGTTTGATTTTTTAAAACACACTGGACTCGTTAGAAGAATTTAAAATATGCATGCATAAGTTATCTTTTTTGTTTTAGGAACTGTAGCTTGCAAGATACGAAACAGATTCGGAAGTTGTAAGCCATAGAGGTGACACATGCACAATCTATCTGGTGGGTGGCGGTATTGCGCTGCACTAGTTCGCAACCGCCGTTAAGCAAACAAAGAAGAAGAAGAAGAAGAAGACTAGCAAGATGGCGCCGTGTCAGGGCGCCGCAGTGAACGCTCTGGTGCGCACAATCTGTGTTTTGTTGTTTTTCGTCTGGGATTCACTTGCCACAGTGAAATATGATCGGCAAACACTTCTGCACATTCGGGACCACGCGGGTGTCGGGTCACTCGTTTTACCTGAACTGAGGTGCACAAACTTCCTCGAGTGTCCCACTCGAGAGGCTGGTGGAGCACGGCAGGCGGGCCGCGGCGGTGGCCGCCAACAGAGCGAGGGGACTGGGCGTCTCCGGCGTTCTCTCCGCGGTGTGGAGCTGGGCACCTCAAGTCGGCGAAGGAGGCGCAGACACCGGGGAAGGCGAGGCGGTCTGCTCGTTCGTAGCCGCTCCTCCAGGACTCCTTTGCCCTCCATCTACCTGGCCAACGTCCAGTCTCTGCCCAACAAGACGGACGAGCTCCTGTGTCGGGTCCAGAGCCAGCGCGAGGCCCGGGACTGTGTTCTGTCTCAGCGAGACGTGGCTCCACTCGAACGTCCCGGACTCTGCTGTTCAGCCCCCGGGATTCACCGCTCACCGCTCGGACAGAGTGAAGGAGACCACGGGCAAGGCCAGAGGCGGAGGTGTGTGCTTTTTAATTAATCAGCGCTGGTGCCCGGACACTCGAGTCGTGAACCAAACATGTACTGCCAATCTGGAATGCCTGGTCTTGAGCTGCCGCCCTTTTTATCTTCCCTGTGAGTTTTCAGTGATATTTTTATGTGCTGTTTACATTCACCCACGAGCGGATTACAAAGTAGCCCTACAGGATCTGAGCGAGATCCTTCACAAACATGAGTCTGCTCATCCTAACGCAGTCATCATTGTTGCTGGGATTTCAATAAATGTCATTTAAAGACTGTACTCCTGAACTTTTACCAACATGTGACTCAAGCTACAAGAGGAGCACATGTTCTGGATCACTGCTACAGTAACGTGAAGGGAGCTTACAGGTCCAGTCTCAGACCTCCTTTTGGAAAGTCTGACCACTCCTCTGTTCTCCTTCTTCCTTCGTATACT